CCCCCCCTCGCCTCTCCGGCCGGGGGCAGCCCCCTGGGCTCGGCTCGGCGGCGGAGCTGGCCGTCTGTCCGCCCCGCCACCGCTCAGCCTTCCCTCCCTCCCCGCTTTCCCGCTCAGGTGGCCCTGCTGGACCGCAATTCCGAGGCCGGGCAGGAGAGCAAGGCGGCCCTGGACGAGCAGTTCGAAGCGCAGAGGACGGTGTTCATCCAGTGCGACGTTACGGAGCAGGAGCAGCTGAGAGGTAAGAGGGAGGCTGCCAGCCCTGGGCTCCGGCGCAACATGCAGCAACCTGAAGGAGCCTGGGCTGCTGCGCCAGTCAGTGCGCGGTTCAGGTTTTCTGGAGGACAGCCTGCTCCCGATCGCTTCTGACAGTGACTCAAAAAGGATTGGTTTCTGAACCTGCAGGTGTGAAACATTACTACCAGCATGTGTGTGTTTCACCGTGTGGCTTGGCTCACCGTAAAGAAAAGCCAAAGAAATCGCTTCCATTGAGTGCCGTCTGTGATAGTTCTGCATGAAAGCCTCTGCAGAAGATAATTGTTATTTTATGTGTAATATATATATAAACTCTAAAGCACAGACTTGCTTTTTATGAGGCTTCGGTACAGACTCCAAGCTGCATTCCCTCGTCACAGGAGTAATAAATTCTGCTCTGGGTTGCCGTGCTCTTTCCATTACTTGCTGTAGCTGAAAGGAGGATTGGCAAAAGATGGCATGGTGCTTTAGCATGGTGTTAAATATGGGTTGATAACATTTTGCACGCATCTTGCAGATGCAGGGAATGTCAAGGAGCGCCTCCCTCGTGTATGATTTGCATTTATGTTTTCACTTCAGTGAATAAATCCTGTTCCCTGCTGGGTTCTTAGAGTATCATATAACGTTGATGTACCCTTCACTATATTTCATAACAGGTACATCACTTCATCAAAGTTTCATTATTAAATGGTACATTCATAGATGATGACTCAGATTCAGATTTTGACATCACTTTTGTCAGCGCCCGTTCCCCAGATTCATTTGTGTCAAGCTAGATGTGAACTTTTTTAGTTCTGCTTTTATTCAATACACATCGCTGGCCGCTTTCTCCACAGCAGTGATTGAGCACATCCATTCCTCCTTCACAAAACTTTGCAGTTGGTCCAGAATTCAGCAACAGTGTTCCCTGTTCTGAGCTAGCATGATTATGCCTAATTCCAAAGCTTTACATTGTCTATCTGTAGGAGAGATGCTGGACTTTAAATTTGAAACCTGCTCTAATCAGCAAAGTTTTTATCAGCTAGGTTGATTATTGACTTTTTCTGCACGTGAGAGGAGTAACCTAGGAGCAAGAAAAAGCATCCTAGGGGTAGGAACAGTATGTGCTGCAGCTTGGGTGTTGCACCAGTGTGCTCTCCCCCGTGACCCCTCCTCTCTTTAGTGCCAGGCTAGTGCAGGACCAACAGGGTGTGCACTGGGAACTGGAGTGAACAGGACGGGTCAGTGAGGGAGGATTTGGAACAAAGACAGTAGGAAAAGAGCAATCAGTTGGATCGGAATGGGCTCTCACAAAGAATGAGAGCAAGAATGGGCAGCTGCTGCTTATGCTTCTCTGATACTGCATTATGCCTGCTGCAGGTTTCAGCATAAATTTGCAGTCATGTCTTACGATGCTTTGGGGTTTCTGGGGTAATTTTTAGAGGTTTTGTTGGTTGAGGGGTTTTTTTTTTTACTGCTTCATTTTCCTATTTTTTCACTTGTAATTGCAAGCCACCGCTTAAACTGAAATTCATTTCAATCCTAGTCCTTAAAGTTCTTAGTGGATGCATCAAGTCCTGCACTTGCTTTTTATGTCAAGGGTCATGTGCATGAATTAAGTTCCTCTTATTTTAACTTAGCCCTTTCGGTATGAAACAAGTCACAGTACTAGAATTAGTATCTGTAGGTACATAATGCTTATGGGTAGGAAACGAGGTGCTTCACCTGCATTCAAATCTTGCCTGTGTTTTTTTTCTCTGGTGGCTCTTTCACATAGTCCCCCACAAAAATATCCTGTCTTGTCCCACTTTTGAAAAATCACCATACATTTACTTTTGCTTTCCACAAATATTTATAAAGTTCACATATAACTAGTGTTTGTGCTTACTTTCCACTGTTCTTCTTACCTCTCCTTTGAAATGGATCCTCCTCTTCATTTTTAATTTTTCTTCATTCAATATTTCATATGATCACCTGCTTTTAATTTTTTTGATTCCATGAGCACTAACTAGTGTGCAATGTAAAGACGGAATTATTCTACATTTGAAAAGGGAAGAACAAGTCAGTTTACACTGATGTGTGGGTGATAACTTTATTAAGAGTTTATAATGACATCTTTCTTTTTGCAGAGGCAGGTTAACTTTTACCAGAAATATTCCAAATTTGATAATAATTTTTTATTTTAACATAGATACGCAAACAGCTGAAAAGCATTTGGCTTTTTTCTCAATGTGTAAACTAGAAAACTACAATTAGTCAAGACTGTGTGAATTTAATAAACAAATAATTGTCAAAAGTACTATTTTCCACGGTGTGTTTTGAAGGCAAAAGATTCTATTAAGAATGAGGTTGATGAAAGATGCTATTCAGAGAAAGCTTAAAAGGGAATCAGAAAGACAGTTTCCAAAATTTGGAAGCTAATTGAGGACCCAAATTGTATTTATTTTACTCATTGAAACGAAGTTAAATAATCAGTTCTGCTCCTAATAAAGGCAAAGGTTTTCATTTGCCCTCACTGATGCAGGATTGGAAAGATGAGAAGTGATTGAAGAGTTAAGTTCAGAAACCAGAGAATGAATTAGCAACAAACATAACAAAAGCCAAAAAGGCAGACAGCCAAAAATAGAGGCTTTGGTAATATTAAAATATTCTAGTACAGAATAAGAATATTAGAAAGATCTGAACAATAAAGGCAGTTGGACAAGTAAAACCTTTCCTATCAGTTGCCCAGCTCTTGTTCTGATGACAAGATGATGACTGTGATGGACCTGCAGCATTCAGGCAACGAAAAGGCTGTACAAGTACTGACCACCTGGTGCAAGAAAAAAACCCTTTGTAAACCCCTGCAATTGCTGCAAAAAAGATAGATGTCTCAAAGGTGCTGCTGTGCCGCTGATTGACACTAATAGCCAAAGACTAAAGGTCAGAGAATTAAGATGGTCCTGGGATCAGGTAACGTCTGCAGTTGTAGAAAATCTTAGTCTAGAATGAACATTTGGAGGTCATCTTATCCAACTACCCTGTCAAAGCAGGGCCAACCTAGATTAGTTTGCTCATCACTATGACATCATCATGTTTTCCATACACATCTTTTATCTTAGTTCAAACGCTGTCACCTGGGAGAACACAATGTCATTGTGGAAGTTTCCCAGTTCTTTACTTTGAAATTCTTTGGAAGGCAGGTCACTGTTTTTGTCAACAGAAGGAAGAAGATTTGAATTTGAGAAACACATTATTGAAGTTAGCTGACAAGTAGGTTGTATAACAATTTATTCAAAAATGGATAAATTTAAAAACGAACTATGATGAATTATTTGTAGCTGAAAGATTCGTATTAGTTATATCACTGAATAAGAATTGCATTCTTAGGTTAAATTCAGACTCACTCAAGAAAAATATCCTGAACAGACAAAGCTTTTATTTTGCATTTAAAATAGATGGTGTCAAATCTTGAATTCACTAGATATATCAAACTGTTGCAAACCAAGCTATGAATGTTTAATTTAAGTAACTAGGGTGCCAAACATCCTACCTAATATAAAATGCATGGGTGCTAAGAAGTTTCATTAGCTCCTGTTATCAGGCATTACAAAACTGAATACAAAGGCCACTATGGTATCTTAATCCTTTCAGTTTTCCTGAATATGTTTAATATTGGTGATCGGTTAGATAAAGAATTTAATTGTGTGTTGCTCATTAGTGGTTAAGAAAGCAGTGAAGACATTTTGATAGACTAATAAAACATTAATTTTTAGGCATGCATTGTATTTTAACATCTTACTTCCTATAAGTGCTAAGAAATTTCACCCTTGGGTCTTACTATAGGTGCTTTCAAAAAAGTAATTGAACATTTTGGAAGGCTGGATATTGTGGTTAATAATGCTGGAGTGAACAATGAGAAGGACTGGGAAAGCACTATACAAATTAACTTGGTAAGCATTACCTCCTTTCACATGTTCATAGTTTAGTATCTAATGCTGGAATACACTTCAGAGCCCTTGGTTTGTACAGATGGTGCATATGACAGAACACTAATTATTGGATTGGTAATCACAGCTATTGAAACAATAACCACGTAACTGCATATGTACTAACCAATAAATGTGTGTGTGGTGGGTCCTTCCAGTTGTCTATCCAAGATGTACAGCACTGTGTAGAGGTAGTCAGGCTAACACCAGACAACATTCTTGTTCTATAAAACCCGATGAAATTCCACACAGACGTAACAATTTGGTGCCCAAAGCAGTAGAGCTGCCTCTGTGGGAGGCCACTCTGTTTATATGAATGTTTTAGAATATTTTAGTTACTTGTGAGCCTCAGGTGGCCTAATAGGTTACCATTTTTTGGTATTACAAGAAAACTTGGTCAACCAAGAGCTCCGTATTTTCTTCACCAATGAAGCAAGCGTACAATCGGAGCTTTTAATATAGGTCATTTCACCATTGTCACTGGTAGAAGAACACCACTTAAGAGCACTTACTTGCTAAAACCAAGTACACTCAATGAGCCTGTAAAATTTATTTTCAAACAGACTATTACCGGTTCTTTGACATGATCTGGTATCTCATCAAGTGAGACCAAAATATCTGATTTTCAGTTGATTTTTTTTTTTAAATTTAGATTACACTGCTATGAGATCTAAGCTCCAAAGGAAAGAACGTTTTTCTAGGTTAATAAAATTCTGACTAGCTTGTATTCTGGCACCTGTGAAATTCTAATTCGATAGTGATTCAGCAAATCACCCATATGACCAAAAGGTGACAAAGTGTTATAATCTAGATCTGCAAAGAATCTAGAAGAATTGCAAATGGAAGCTTGGAAGAGTGCAATGGGAGTTTTCTCCAATCAGTCATTTGGGATTTGTGAACACAACAAGGAAGCTCAGGATAAGAAAACTAAGTTTAGTTTTGTCAAATTTTTAAGGACAAAGGTATCTGCATCTTTGAATGTTAATGCCTCCATGAAAACAAATTAACAACAAAAAAAAACCCCAGGACAAGTAACACAAGCTGTATATGAGACAAATTATGGAAAAACTAATAGGAAAGCAAGTATTTGAAGAAAAAAGTTAGATTTAATAATACTTTTTCTTGATCTTTTATATTTATCCAAGGTCAAATTTGTTTATTTTTGGAAGGGACTGGACTGAGACCACAGATTAAAATTTCCACGATAAGAGAAATACCTTTGTTCCATTTCCTTTGCCTTTTCTTTACATATTCTTTAAGATTTAACTACACATATTTCTTCCTCCCTCTTTCATTTCTAAAATATTCTGACAAATTAAACATCAGGAAACTTCATATTGTGTTGTAACAGGACTGGGGCATCCTCAGTGTTATGCATCATCAATATCTATTAGCACAGATCCCTTGAACTGAAAGAAGACTTTAGCTGTGTTCTAGGTTACTTGTTTATTTTTGCGCCTGGTTTAACACAGGAGATAAGTTACTATAGGCAGCCATCCACCTGTCAAATTTGCAAGCATAGATAGTTAGTCATCACCAGAAAAGTTGAAGTCCATGTGAGAAACACATTTGTCTGTGATTCACCTTTAATTCTAGTGCAAAAAATTAAGGCATTTCTGATCAGCAAATCTTGAAGACATTTAAGGTCCAGGTAAATATCCTAAATTAGTGTGATGTCCAAATAATTTTTCAATTACAAGGGCTTTAAACAGTAGGCACTGAGAACCTCCTTCTATTTTTTCTGTCTTATCACCAGTGATTGGGCTGAAGCAGACCAGAGGTGGGTTTGAACCATCTCAAGTAGCAGACAAACTGGAATCCAAGTCTTAGAAATCTATATGCTTAACTATCAAGCTAATGCCCCTAAAAATTAAAAAAAAAAAAAAAAAGGAGGGAGATTATATAGTTTATACCTAGGTAAGTAAAGGTAACTTCACCATAAACATCCTAATGGCTTAATTCATAGTTGAAAGTTGAAAACTTTCAGCAATACACGCTGGTGACTGGAGTAAGAACATCTGAAATGATCAAGCAGAACAGAAGTACAGCCACATGGGTTAAATCAAGGACACTCTTAAGATCCAAAGATCCTCATTTATCTTTTGATTTGAATATTCTTATCCTATCTCACCTCAAGGCAACTAGCTAGCTTATTTCCATGGGGCACTTCTATCTAGTTACTGTAATTTCCATAAACAAGATACAACATTTTGTACTTTTTACTTTTTAACTAAACAATGGAAGAATAACAGCTGATACCTGTAATATGTTATATTGGTTGGTTCCTTAAAATATTTTTTGCTTCTTATAGAGAAAGGGGCAAAATATGTATGAAATATATTACTTTAAAATGTCTATTTTTTCTGACATAGGACAATTTAAGTATCATTTGTATTATCCCTAAGAATAGGAATAACTTCTATGGCCACACCTTTTGATACACATTCTGCACACATTTTCTATTTTAAAAAAGTGAGAAAAACCTCTACACGCCAGTCTTTGTCTTAGTGCTATCTTTTATATACTGATACAACAAATATTCCCTGCCCCAGTTTAAAGTACAAAGTACAAAAGTAGAGCAGTACAGAGCAAGATAAATCAGAACAAACACATATGGGGTGTGTTCTTTATGGCTAAAACAGTTCACAGAACTGGTTGGTCTTCAGGAACATTTTTAAAGGGGTGCAAGGAAGTTCCCTGATAGCACTGCTTGAGAATGCACTGAGGAACAGAAAGGAAGCATGGGACCTAATTTAGAAATAAAAAGGCGGGGGGGGATGGGGGGGAATCACAATTCCTACTTGTATCTGTTACAGTTTCCCAAGGGCAAGAAAAGAAAGCTTGATAAAGATGGGGGGAAAAAAGAAAAAAAAGCGTCGACGGCTAAAAAGAGATTTCTATTGCAGTGCCTGCCACCATTTTGCTGTTTTGTGCTAAGCAACATCCACCTTTTTGTTACTTTACTAATATTTCTGTAACTTTTTTAGTTAAGTATTCCAGCAGTGCCGTCCATTCCTCACCTCAAAACTCCAAAGGTGATAGTGTTGACTTGATCAATATCAGCTTGATCAATGGCAACTTCAACCACTCATACCCATACAAATGTGCACAACAAGGGTTGTTATGGCACATAAGAAAAGATGTTGACAATCACACAGCAATTCCATTTAAAATGGATATTACCAGTGTAGTTCCAACAGTCCATCACACACACACCCCCCACATGCCCCCATGCACAGAATAGCACAAGGATGTATGACACACCCATTCTTATCAAGAGTCTGTAAGAGTCGGTCCGAAAACAGCATTTTCTCATTGTCTTACCTACAGTCCTCCAGCATGACAAGAACAGTTTCTTGCATTCAACTTCATCAGAACTTATGCCTAGGGAATCCAGAAATTTCATAATCTGGCTTTTTTCCCTTCAAGTCCCTAAAGAAAGAAAAGTGCCTACATTTTTATAAGCCTTGAACATATGTGTCAGTTAAACACAGTTTGGACTTCTAAGAAGCTTAGAATTAATTTTGTCTTGTGTTGATGATGTAAGCTCTCAGGAACCACTGTAATTACAGTGGCTGCTATAATTACAGTATATTTTGTCTTTACAAATGCACTTAGCATATTTTATAGCAAAACGATCCCAAAATTTACTTGGAGGTTCTTCCTTTGTTATGCTTATATCAGAGGTTTCTGAAAACTGACAAAGGTTGCAGTATGCAGTTAAATGTAGCAGTAGTGGTATTACATATGCTTACATTTTACCTGAACTCAAAGTACAGAAGCACTTTACATAACATTTTGACTATCTTGTTGCTTTCTTGTGCCAACAAATTAGTTATTTTGTAGGTATATTTAAACCGGTTCCCCAAACAAAATTAAATGGTCTCATGAAAGAATTTGACAGCAAAATCACAATTATCTATGTGATGACTTTGCACATTTTAACACATTATTCTGGCAAAACTTTAACTTGCAGGCCATTACTTGGGCATGCCAAAAAAAAACCCCAGTCATATGGGATCAAATTATTTGAGTGTACCCAGAGAGAAGTAGAATTCAAATATACACGTAAAACTTGTTCAGGTGCATGACAGTCTCATCCTTCATTGCTAGGCAAAATGTGGCAGCACCCAACAATTCCGTTTTTACATTTTTCGTGGGTTTGCATAATTTATTTCCATAAAAGGCAAAGGTAACATGTTTCTGTGACTTTAGAAAAGTCTTTTTCTAAAATAATGTCTACCTAACTCAGGGTTTGCCCCTGCAAAATGTTTAGATTGGTACTACAGAGAAGAGAATGCAACACTGCGTATATATATGTGTGGCTTTGTTCAATACAGCTCATGGTAAAATAAAGGTTCCAGCAACTGGCAAACCTTGCAAAATCAATTAATTTGCTCATCAGTAAGGAACTATTCCTCAAAAAGTCAATTAATTTCTCAGCAGAAACCAGAAAGGTAACTAGGCAAGCTTCAGAAGTGATTAATTTTATCTATTTGGGGGACAAAGACTTCATGATCATCACAAGGTAGTTCCATTGTGCAAGCCATAAAAGGGATCCCTTGCAAGTATGCTGCAACCTTCTTCGGGATCATACACCTTGCTCTTCTTTCCCAGTGTACCAGGAGAATTCACAAGGACTGAACTTTCATCCCAAAATAATGTGACCAGCTGGATTCAGCAGCCGGGAATTACCACCAGGTCCCACAGAGGCAAGCACTGTTAATGCTACCAACATGGAAATAAACAAACCAAAACAAAGCAGTGCAATCTGTAGAAGATAAAATGGCATAGGTAACTAGTTTATCAAGCTTGCATTCTAAGACAACCAGAAATACTCTAACTCTGTTGTTCAATGGCTTAGTGGCTTATTCTTCAGCATGATTTCATGTCAGAAAGAGGGCTAAGTGTTTGGAGAGACATGTGGCCACCAAAAAGTGAGAAGTAACACTTACCTTGAAATC